AACATCTCAGACATCAAAGACATCACAGACATAACAGACATCAAAGACATCTCAGACATCTCAGACAGCACAGACATCTCAGACAGCATAGACATCTTAGACATCTCAGGCATCTCAAACATCTCAGACATCTCACACAACACAGAAAGCTCGGACATCACAGACATCTTAGACATCTGGGACAGCACATACCGCATAGACATCACAGACAACAAAGTCATCATAGACATCTCAGACATCTCGGACAACACAGAGATCTCAGACATCTCGGACATCTCAGACATCTCAGACATCTCAGACATCTCAGTCATCTCAGACATCACAGACATCACACACATCTCAGACATCACACACATCACACACATCTCGGACATCTCGGACATCTCGGACCTAGATAGCAGAGACATCTAAGACATCTCGGACATCTCAATCATCTCAGACATCACAAACATCACAGACATCTCGAACATCTTGAACAGCACAGACACATCTCGGACATCTTAGACATCTCCGACATCACAGACATTATAGACATCACAGACATCTCAGACATCTCGGACAGCATAGATATCTCGGACAGCATAGATATCTCGGACAGCACGGACATCTCGGACATCTCGGACAGCACGCACATCTCGGACAACACATACATCTAAGACATCTCAAACACTCGGACATCTCGGACAGCACGCACATCTCGGATAGCACAGACATCTCAGACATCTCAGACATCACAGATAGCATAGACATCACAGACATCACAGACATCTCGAACATCTTGAACATCTTGTGCATCACTGACGTCTCAGACATCACAGACATCACAGACATCTCAGACATCACAGACATCTCAAACATCTTAGACATCTCAGACATCTCAGACATCTCGGACATCTCGGACAGCACAGTCATCACAGACATCTCGGACATCACAGACATCACAGACATCTCAGACATCACAGACATCACCGACTGTTGGGTTTTATGTCCTAAACTCATAGTTTGTAAACAAAAACATATTATATTTTCAATGAAGTTATTTTTGTTTATTCAATAAAAATTGTTATTGAATAAGGTGAAATTTACGATCATTAATCTAAATCCAATAAACTAAGAACACTCTGGCTATAGTATGATTACTTGAACTATATGTAGAGACATAAGAGTGGATCAATTTCAAGTATATAGTCAAAATGATCTATAGTATAAGGATAATGCTGCGTACCTTATTCTGGGGACACTATGGATGCGACCCACTTTTATATATGATATAAACAATGTGATCACTAAATTGTACATGTGGAGACATGTGAGTGGGGGCGTCCTATGTAATGAGTATTTCATAAGATCGAACCATGAACAAAACCACTCTCACTTTATAATGTCGTTTACTGTTGAGACTGATTTTCTTTTCATTCGATAACCTAGGTAACTCGGTTTTAATCCTGAGCTAACCATGAACTCCTGTTTATTCGGAATTATCCTTAGATTTGCATGGGTGAGAGTGACTCTAGTTCGCCGACTCAATAGGCCTCCCATTTCAGGGGTAAAACTGGGTGAATGGCAGGGTTCGTGGGGTGCAAGATGGAATTCGCTCCTACCCACTTTTAGGGATAGAAGAGAGGTAGTTCCCTTAAGCACTAACTCTAGGTCTTGAACAAGAGGCCCCACCCTCTCATTGGCGTGAGAGGGATTCGGTTTACTGGTTAGACCACAAACCAATTGTTCATTAGAGGATCAGTGAAACAAAAGGAACAAGAAGTAACTTTAGGGGTAAAATGGTAAATTGACTCAGCTCTAGTTACGAACAACCTGTGAAGGATCGACTTACTAATCATGGTTATATCAAATGGACAGAAATATATCTATAGTGAGAGGAGTGCAACTACTAGGCTATAGTGGAGTGTCCTAGTAGTTAACGAATGTTGGTTTACCCGGTTAATCTACTAGGTTAATGAGTTTAACCGGTTAATCTTGGATCGTTGGAGCCCATGATCTATAGGTCCATTAGGTCCCTCTACTAGCTCATATCGGACTAAACCATAGAATAGTGTGACGAGTGTGTTTGAAGTGTTCGAATTCAAATTAGGGAATAAGCGCTATATATATACGATATATTTAACCGCATTTTTGTTTTATTTACGAATTAAACAAAAAGAGAGAATATGAGATATTTAAATAAGATTTAAATATCTTAATCAATTATGTGTCGGAATTGATTGGGATTGGCATTTGAATTAATATTAAATATTAATTAAATAGTTTAATTAATCATTTAATGTTACTTTAATTTGAAATTCATTATTCAAATTAATTGTTGAATTAAAATGAATAAAGTCAAAATGTTGACTTCATTTAATGGAAAAATCCATGTTAGTGAAATTTTTAGTGTCAAAATTTGGTGATCTCAAATTTGCATGAACATGCAAACATGACTCTTTAAATAGAGTGATCATGGTACATGGAAGGTCTTCTTCTTCTTGGTGAAAAACCTTAAGAAAAACTCTCACAAACACTCTCTTCATATATACAAAATCCCTCCCAAGTTTAGTCACTCACCGAATTCCACAATCCCGTTTTAAGGCCGGAGGATAGTGGAGAAGACACTAGTGGTGGTTCGAAACCGGTTCATGAGGAAAAAGGAGTTTGAACTACAAAAGGTTAGTATTCAAACTCATTAAGTTTTAATACTTATGAACATCCTAGTTATTTATTATAATTGATGTTCTAAAAGTGCCTAAGATCCAAATTGCTTCCGCATGTGTTATAGTAACACCATCACCGACATCACAGACATCTCGGACATCTCGAACATCACAGGCATCACAAACATCACAAACATCACAGACATCACAGACATCACAGACATCTCAGACATCTCAGACATCCCAAACATATCGGACATCTCAGACAGCACAGACATCTCGGACATCTCGGACATCACAGACATCATAGGCATCTCAGACAAATCGGACAACACAGACAACACAGACATCTCGGACATCTCGGACAGCACAGACAGCACAGACATCACTGACATCTCGGACAGCACGGACATCTCGGACAACACGGACATCTCAGACATCTCAATCATCTCGGACATCTCAGACATCTCAGACATCACAGACATCTCAGACATCTCAGACACTCAAACATCTCAGACATCTCAGACATCTCAGATATCTCAGACACTCAAACATCTCAGACATCTCAGACATCACAGACATCACAGACATCTCGGACATCACAGACATCTCAGACATCACAGACATCTCGGACAGCACAGACATCTCGGACAACACAGACATCTCGGACAGCACAGACAGCATAGACATCACAGACATCAAAGACATCATAGACATCTCAGACATCTCGGACAGCACAGACATCTCGGACATCTCAGACATCTCGGACATCTCATGTGATTGTTGCATTTAACCCCAATAGTGGGGTCACTTACTGAGTATTTCTTTAAATACTCAAGCCATGTGCTACTACATTTTTCAGGTTAAGGCAAGACATTCCTGTACGGCTGACGACGGCATCGCAACTTGAGACCATGGAACATGCATAGGGTAGTGGTATTTATTTTCTTAGTATTAGGCTAGAATAGGATGTTTTTAACTTAAATTCTTATTCATTTTATTTAGTCTTTTGTTGTGTCGTTTTGAAGCTGTTTTCGAAACACACAAGTCCATGGCTATGTTTTAAGATAAAGGTTATGTTTTATAGAATTTAAATGAAGTCTTCCACATTCAATGTTTATGGTATGTATACAGTAGCGACCTTAAATTAAGTAGAAAATTTCAGGTCGTTATAGTTAAGGTATATATGAAATCATTCATTTTCTTTTATCCAAATTTTATTTTTAGAAAATCACAAATTATATGTTAGATCTTCCTTAAATTGTTGTAATTATTTAGTTGATGTCAGTAATTTTATATTAGTAAATCATAGTCAAATGAATTTGTTGTTTGAGATGTCTTTGATGTCAGAGATGTCTGAGATGTCTGAGATGTCTTGGATGTCTGTGATCTCTGAGATGTCTTTAATGTCTGAGATGCCTGAGATATTTGATATGTCTAAGATGTCTAAGATGTCTAAGATGTGTGAGACATCTGAGATGTCTAAGAAGTCTAAGATGGCTGAGACGTCTCAGCTGTCTATGATGTCTAAAAGGTCTGAGATGTCTTAGATGTCAAAGATGTCTTTGATATCTTTAATGTCTTTGATGTCTTTGATGTCTGAGATGTCTTTGATGTCTGAGATGTCTTTGATGTATGAGATGTGTTATATTTCTGATATGTCTGAGATGTTTGAGATGTTTGAGATGTCTTATATGTCTGAGAGGTTTGAGAGGTTTGAGATGTCTTTGATGTCTGAGATGTCTTATATTTATAATATGTCTAAGATGTGTTTGATGTATGAGATGTATGAGATGTCTTTAATGTTTGAGATTTCTTAGATGTTTGAGATGTCTTTTGATGTCTGCGATGTCTCTGATTATTGAGATGTCTTTGGATGCCTGTGATTTCTCTGATGATTGAGATCTCTGAGATGTCTGAGAGGCCAGAGAGGTCTGAGATGACTGAGACATCTTTGATGTCTGAGATGTCTGAGATGTCTTATATGTCTAAGATGTCTGAGATGTCTTATATGTCTAAGATGTCTGAGATGTCTTTGATGTTTGAGATGTCTTTGATGTCTGAGAAGCCGAAGAGGTGTGAGAGGTTTGAGATGTTATAGATGTTTTTGATGTCTGAGATGTCTGAAATGTCTTATATGTCTAAGATGTCTGAGATGTTTATGATGTTTGAGATGTCTTTGATGTCAGAGATGTTTGAGATATCATTGATGTCTGAGATGTTTGAGATGTTTGAGATGTCTGTGATGTCTGAGATGTCTTTGATGTCTGATATGTGTGAGATATCTGATATGTCTGAGATGCCTAAGATGTCTAAGATGTATGAGACGCTTAAGATATCTAAGATGTCTGAGATGTCTATGATGTCTAAGATGTTTGAGATATTTGAGATGTCTGAGATGTTTAAGATGTCTTTGATGTTTTTGATGTCTGAGATGTCTCTAGTGATTGAGATCTCTGAGATGTCTGAGAGGTCTAAGATGTCATTGATGTCTGGGATGTCTGAGTGGTCTGAGTTGTCTTTGATGTCTGAGATGTCTAAGATGTCTCTGATGATTGAGATCTCTAGGATGTTTGATAGGTCTAAGATGTTTGAAATGTCTTATATGTCTAAAATGTCTGAGATGTATGAGGTGTCTTTGATGTCTGAGATGACTCTAATGTCTTTGATGTCTGAGATGACTCTGATGCCTAAGATGTTTGAGATGTCTTATATGTCTAAAATGACTAAGATGTATGAGATGTTTGAGATGTCTCTGATGTTCTGAGAGGTCTGAGAGGTCTAGGATATCTGAGATGTCTTTGATGTGAGAGATATCAGGGATGTTTTTGATGTCTGAGATGTTTTTGATGTTTGAGATATCTGAGATGTCTTTGATGTCTGAGATGTCTGTGATGTCTGAGTTGTCTTTGATATCTGAGATGTCTTAAATGTCTGAGATGTCTTTAATGTCTGAGATGTCTGAGATATCTAATATGTCTAAGATGTTTAAGATGTCTGAGATGTCTAAGATGTTTGAGATGTCAGACATGCCTGAGATGTCTGAGATGTCTTTGATATTCTAAAAGGTCTAAGAGGTTTGAGATGTTAAAGATGTCAAAGATGTCAGAGAGATCTAAGATGTTTGAGATGTCTATGATGTATCTGATGATTTAATTCTCTAAGATGACTGAGAGGTATGAGAGTTCTGAGATGTCTAAGATGTCTAAGATGTCTTAGATGTCTGAGATGTTTGAGATGTCTTAGATGTCTGAGAGGTCTAAGAGGTCTGAGATGTCTTATATTTCAGATATGTCTAAGTTACTTCTTGTTTCTTATGTCCCACTGATTCTCTAATGAACAATTGGTTTGTGGTCAAACTAGTAAACCAAATCCCTCTCAGGCCAATGAGAGGGTGGGGCCCCTTGTTCAAGACCTGGAGCCAGTACTTAAGGGAACTACCTCTTTTCTATCCCTAAAAGTGGGAAGGAGAGAATTCCATCTTGCACCCCACGTCCCCAGCTATTCACCCAGTCTTACCCCTGAAATGGAAGGCCTATTGAGTCGATGAACTCGAGCCACTCTCACCATGCAAATCTAAGGATAATTTCGAATAAACAAGAGTTAGTTTATTGGATTTAGATTAATAATCGTAAAATTCACTTTATTCAATAACAATCTTTATTGAATAAACATGAATAATAACTTTATTGAAAATAGAATATGTTTTTGTTTACAAACTATGAGTGTTAGGACATAAAACCCAACATGAGATGTGTGAGACGTCTGAGATATCTGAGACGTCTGAGATGTCTATGATGTCTATGATGTCTGAGATATCAGAGATCTCTCTGATATCTAAGATGTCTAAGTTGTCTTTGATGTCTGAGATGTTTGAGATGTCTTTGATGTGTTTGATGTCTGGGATGTCTGAGATGTCTGAGATGTCTTTGATGTGTTTGATGTCTGGGATGTCTGAGATGTCTGAGATGTCTTTGATGTTTAAGATGTCTATCATGTTTGAGATGTCTTTGATGTGTTTGATGCCCGAGATGTCTGAGATGTCTGAGATGTATTTGATGTTTGAGTTGTCTAAGATGTTTGATATGTTTGATATGTCTGAGATGTCTGGGATGTCTGAGATGTCTGAGATGTCTGGCATGTCCTTGATGTCTCTGATGTCTGAGATATCTGAGATATCTGAGATGTCTTATATGTCTAAGAGATTAGAGATGTCTGAGATGTCTCTAATGTTCTAAGAGGTCTGAGATGTCTGAGATGTTAGAGATGTCTGAGATGTCTTTAAGGTCTGAGAGGTATGAGATGTCTGAGATGTCTGAGATGTTTGAGAGGTCTGAGATGTCTTAGTTTTGTGATAGGTCTAAGATATCTAAGAGGTTTGAGATGTCTAAGACGTCTCAGATGTCTTTAATGTCTGAGATGTCAGAGATGTCTTTGATGTTTGAGATGTCTGAGAGGTCTGAGATGTTTGAGACGTCTGGGATGTCTGAGATGTTTGAGATGTCCGAGATGCTAGATATGTCTAATATGTCTGAGATGTCTTTAATGTCTAAGATGTTTGAGAGATCTGAGATGTCTTAGATGTGTGATAGGTATGAGATATCTAAGATGTCTGAGATGGCTGAGATATCTGAGACATCTCAGTTGTCTTTGATGTCTTACATGTCAGAGATGTCTGAGATGTCTGAGATGTCTGAGATGTCTTTGATGTCAAAGATGTCTGATATGTCTAATATGTCTGATAAGTCTCTGATGTCTGAGATGTCTCTGATGTCTGAGATGTTTGAGTTATTTTTGATGTTCAAGATGTTTGAGATGTATTTGATATGTTTGATGTTTGAGATGTTTGATATGTCAGATATGTCTGAGATGTCTAAGATGTCTTTGATGTCCAAGATGTCTGAGATTGCTGAGATATCTTTGATGTCTCTAATGTCTGAGATGTCTGAGATGTTTAATATGTCTGAGATGTCTGAGATGTTTAATATGTCTGAGATGTCTGAGTTGTCTGAGATGTCTGAGATGTTTTTGATTTCTCTGATGTCTGAGATGTCTAATATGTCAAAGATGTCAGAGATGTCTGATATGTCTGAGATATTATTAATGTTTGAGATGTCAGAGATGTCTAAAATGGCTGAGATGTCTTTTATGTCTTAGATGTCTGAGATGTCTGATATGTCATAGATATCTGAGATGTTTGAGATGTCTTTGATGTCTGAGATATCTGAGATGCCTTTGATGTCTAAGATGCCTTTGATGTCTAAGATGTCTGATATGTCTGAGATGTCTGAGATGTCTAAGATGTCTTTGATGTCTTAGATGTTTTTTATGTCTGAGATGTTTTTGATGTATGATATGTCTTTGATGTCTGAGATTTCTGAGATGTCTTTGATGATTGAGATCTCTAAGATGTCTGAGATGCCTGAGAGGTTTGAAAGGTCTGAGATGTCTGAGTTGTCTTAGACGTCTGAGACGTCTTAGATGTCTCAGATGTCTCTAATGTCTGAGATATCTGAAATGTCTGAGATGTCTGAAATGTTTGAGATGTCTTAGATTTCTCAGATGTCTCAAATGTATGAGATGACTTAGTTGTATGAGATGTGTGAGATGACTGAGATGTCTTAGATGTTTGAGATGTCCGAGATGTTTGAGATGTCTGAGATCTTTAAGATGTCTGAGATGACTGAGATGTGTGTCTCCCCTTAATCGAGGCTCGATTTCTTTTCTTTTGAAGTCTTAATCATTTTTGTCTATGTCGTCTTCGAGGCTCACAACACTTTTGTCTTTTGGAGTCATAATCATTTTTTGCTATGCCTTTGAGGATCACAATACTTTTGTTCGACATCTGAAGACTCTATTGACATTGCTAAGTTAGGGCATGGCTCTGATACCATGTGAATGTTTGCATATTCCACCACACCTAAATGGTCTGAAAGTTATCTGTTTATAATCAATTAAATTATAAGGATATGGAAAGAATAATAAATGGAAAGAACAATAAATGGAAGGATACCTATGGTAAAAAGGCAAATATCTAGATATTTGCCTTATAATAAAATATCAAATATGATATATATGGTAAACTATAATTTAGTGCTAAATATTCTTAACACGAGTCAATAAGTCGAGCCGACCAACTACGCCGCCAATTCGAGCCGCGGGAATTGACGAAGCCGAGCCGTCGTACACGTCAAGCCAAGTCAGCGTACACGCTGTGGAGCCAAGAGTGTAGCTACAAGCGCATGTCTGTATTGGGCCGAAATGCACACGGCCCGTGTTCCTCCGTGGGCTGGTTCAGAGGCACCTGACCCGATTCCAACCCGCGTCTTCCTACCCCACTTGAAAACGAAACCCTAATTTTTGCCTCCCCGATTCCGACAACGCAATCTTCTCTATTTCTCTTACAGCCCCGATTCTGACGACGCGCGACACCTTCACCTATTCCGACGCCTTTCCGTCACCGATGACCCCTGGCGCAACTTGTTGTCTCTGCTGGTCACGCAACGTCTTTGACACAAGTACGATGATCTCGACGTCTATATCTTACTGCCACTCGAAACCTTTCTCCGAAATAGCAATTCTAATGTTCCGAGAGAAAATATTTTTAAGGAAAGAGAAGGGTTGAACATATGAATATAAAGGGTCTCATAAAGTTTCTATTAAGGCAATAACTTTCTTGTAGGAGATCGCACACCTTTTCCGGCAGGAATAAATGCATAACATAGTTTCTTTCCATTTTTTTGGAGCAAAAATAAAATCTCAAACATAAAATCTAGAAAAGATAAAATCTGAATTGTTACAGTTTCCTTAAGTAACAAAATTACCGTGGTAGCTTTCAAACTAGTTTGAATGGGTGTAAAGAAAGCATGACAATAACTTAATGTTCATCTTCAAAACATGTCGGACATGTATTAGATAGACACCTATAAATATAAATTCAACATTTGTTGGACACTTATCAAGCACTTCATTTCAAATAAATTTTTAGAGTAAAATACACAATAAATTATTTAAAATATATTAGTGTATAAACTTATTAATTTTAAATTTCTTTCCAATATAAAATGGTAGTGAATCAATCTTAATATTTGAAGCTTTCAAACGGCTCTCAATGGGGGTAAAGAAAGCATGAGAATAACTATAGATAAATAAGTATGGGATTATTTTATGGTGGCTCTATGCCATTTTCATAGTTAAAAGAAAGTAACCCTCCTTTATTGTAGAGAGAAAGGGCTTAGTGTAAACAAAGAGACCACTCTAATGCTTGTTGAAGTCCTTGAGGACATCTTCAAAGGAAAAGATAAAGACTGGTCTCGGGTTAAACCCAAAGTGCTTCACCTTTGCAATATATGATCAATGAATATCATCGTCATTTATAGCTTCTATCACAAGAATATAATATTGATGATCAGGTAAGGGGTTGTTAATAATATCGGACAGACCGTTCACTACACGCTTGTAAATTAAACAATGTCCCTGCTTGTTTTTCCATTCCACTGCAGCCCATGTAGCTTCATTGGAAATGGAACGGAAGGAAACACTTCTTCACAACTCATTTTCAAACAATTGTGATAGATAGTTTCAACAAACTTGCTTTGCTCATGAATACTTTGGAGTTCAATATTTACAGTTGTGGATGAAGGCCATTCAAATTGAGCTAGTCAAATCTTACAACAAAGACTAATTGAGCATTCTTCTCTTATTTTTCAAAGTTATTCTCTCAAATATTGAACCGTAATGATTATTCTCTCTAGAGTGAATTTTAAGTTAAACAAATTTGATCCCGTTAAAAGCTCTAATAAATTGCTAATAATATTATATGTTGTTTAAGCTATTTAAATATTAAATATGTGAGAGTAAATGAGTAAATTTTTTTTTTAGTAATCTTTCCTCTAAAAAAATGTGATTTAGATATGTAAAAGATTAATTAATTTCTTTTAATTAAATATATTTTTATTTAAAAATAAATAAACTAACCTTTTTCAACATTTGAACGCAAACAAATTTAGAGAGTATTTGTGGGTGTTATGGCTACTATTTTACGGAGTAAGAGAAATCTACTGAGTCTCCTAATTTAATTTTAATATTATACCTATAATTATTGAAATTATGTATTTTTTTATTTTAAAAAATTTACTTTTAGTCTATAAAATTTAGCTTGATAATATATCTCACATCTTAATTTTACTATACTTAAATTAACTCATAAAATAAGTTAAATTAACTCATAAAATTACTATACTAAAATTAACTCATAAAATTTTACTATATTTTGGTTTTTCGTTACTCATTTCGAGAACGTTCACAACTTTGAGTAGAAATTTGAAAATAAAATTTACATTTTGTTAGACTTTTCCAAACCATAAATAAATATAATTTTTAAAAAATAATTTTAGAAGAAAAATACATGAAAAATATCTCTAAGATATTTAATTAATTTTTAAAACTTATATGGAGTAAAATCTTTATATTTTTAATGAAAAATTTTAGAGAATTTGAACTAGAAACGGTTACTTTTAACTGATATATAAGTCTAAAAGTACCAATAAACTTGGTTCCTATGCAAAGAAAGAATATTAACATGGATTAAAAAGGTTGACATTATAAATATATCTTTGGTGATATCGAGCTTCACATATAGAGTACTATATTTTGTGCTAAAAATTCAAGTTTGTTCACGATTGAAAATGTGTCAAAACAAAAGATAAGATAAGATGCTAATTAAATTTAGGACTAATTTTTGAAGTGGTTAATTTGAATTTTAATGGTTCCTTATCTCAAAAAGAAGAAAAAGAAGAAGAAGAAGAAAAAAAAATGGCTTCTAAATATTGTATTGGTTCACTTTTAAAAGATAAGTATCTAAAGACTAAAATATTGGTTCGACACTTGATGGGCCCGACATTTTCCTTAGACATGGTCACGTTCCTTACTTCTGGTTTCATGTCACGTTCCTTCTGGTTTCTAAAAGTGAAAACTATGATGTTTTATCTTCACTCACATGTACCCTAGAAAAATTCTCAAATAAAGTACGTCTAACCATGAAATTTCTATGATTGAGCTACCAAAAAGGGAGAGTGGCTCTCAATTTTTTTAAGGTTTCTTAACCATCATATCCTAAATATCGCGCTCATCCAAATGTTTTTTTCGGTTTATTCTTGTACCCCTCTTTTAATCCAATGTCACACTTCTATTTATAAATAACTATTTTAATACTCTTAATTAAAGTAAGTTTTATTTTATTTTATTGTTGAAATAAGTATTACAAAGTTTCATTTTAAACCGTATACTACAATATCACTATTAAAAAAATAAAAAAAATTATTTCAAGCTGATCACTCTTATACATATAATATGATAAGAGACTAAAGTGGAAAGTTGATTAGAAAATTTTGATAGAATTATATTCATTCGTTGGTAACAAAGATAAATTGAATTATAAGGACTTTTAAGTTAAAAAAACTATTAAATAACAAATTTGTGGTGCGCTTTTACTTATAATCTTCATATTAACACGGTTGATACAACGATAAGAAGGGTACAAAATAAAAAGAGAACGAAAAGATACTCATATAAGAATTATGATATCATTATGGCTATGCCATTTTATGGATAAAGGAGAGTAGTGCTCCCACAAACACATAGAGAGAAGACTTATTGTAAGTAAAGGTAGCAGTCTACTAGTTATACTGCTACTTGGAGACGGGGAATTTGATGACTTCTTCAAAAGATAAGAGTGCATGGGATGGCGGTGGTGGATATATCGGATGAATAAGTCATAACTTCTTCACCTTTGCAATATATGACCAAGGAATATCGTATTCATTTATAGCTTCTATCACAATAATATAAAACAGGCCAGCAGGAAGATTATAGAACAAACCATTCACCACACACATAAAAATGAAATGATGTCCACTACTCCTGTTATGCTCTTCCACTGCAAACCTTCCAACTCTTTGCACTTCGTGATCATTGACATTCTTAATTGGAATTATATTTGAAGGCAACTCTTCTCCACAACTCATTTTGCAACACCTTTGATAGATAGTTTCAACAAACTTGCTTTGCTCATGAATACTTTGGAGTTCAATATTTATAGTCGTGGTTGAACACTATTCAAATTGATATAGCCGAATCTTACTATATAAAGTCTAACTGAGCATTCCTCTCTTATTTTTCAAAGATTAGAAAAAAATTATTCTCTCTCGAAAATGGTACGATATTGATTATTCTCTCTTAGTGAATTCGAAGTGAAACACATTCTCTACCTAAGTAATTCCAAGCTGCAAGCTTCACACTAATAGAAATCCAATCCCCAAGTACCATTGTCCATAAGTGTGAACTATTATGGTAACATATTATTTTAATCAAAGTCAAGTGTCCGATATGAAACATTGGATTATAAATATCTAATATATTTATTGTATTAACAAGTGTTCAATACATATTCAACAATTGTCAAAGAGGGACGTCAGACTAAGTTATTCTCATGCCTTCTTTACATGGGTAAAGAGTATTTGATAAGCTTACAAAATTAAGAGTTTTCTTTTTTTCTTCTTCCTTCTTACTCTCTTTTTCACGTTCAAGTTTTTTTTTTTTTTTTTTAATAAAAAAAAGTTAAATGTGAGAATGAAGAAGAAATAAAGTGTGTTTTTTCGTATTTATGTCTTCGTTTTTTTTTTTTTTAAATAACATGAAATCTTGTCCTTGTGGTGTCATAATTGTATCTCATATACATATATCATGTTCTTGGAGCACAATCTAATACTTTTGATAAATGATTTCAAGCGACTTTGTAAACCTGACTTTGTTCATAAATACTTATGGGTTCGATATTTATAATTGTAGTTAAACACTACTTAAATTGATGAAATGGAATTTGAGAATAGAGACTAATAGAGCAGGTATTCATTGAGAGATAGTTTCGAATCAAATTCTTTATAATTGGGATAATGGATGAATTGTTTTCCAAACCAAGTGTTTTACCCTTTTAGTCTTAAAATAAATGGTTTTTTTATGTTTCAATTTTATTAACCATGATTATTTATGAATTTCATTAAAATTAATTAACTTCAATGTGTTGTTATGTGTTTTTTTTCAAAATTTATTCTATGGATTCACATTTTTTATGTTTTATAAATAAAATTAATAACAACTTAATAACCAAAAAAAAAAAAATTGTATGGTTTTTTCAAAATTCATAGGCTAAATTAATAAAAGTATCATTGAACTTTCCAATTTGTCTAAAAAATATCTTTTAAACGCTTCAATAATACCCTTCAAAATATCCTAGCCATTAATTTTCGATCCATGCTATTATTTTTATTTTTATTTTTATTTTTTGAAAATACTCTAGAATTTTCAAACTGGTTTCAAAACTATACTTTGACTTTCAATGGTGTTTTAAAAATATTCATTAATTTTTAAAATTTTTATTAATACCCTTAATTTTTCTTAAAAAAGAAGAATCCAAAATAATTTTACCCTTGCCACGTTTCAAAAACACTAATGAACTCTCAAAAGTAACATTAGAAAGGAGATAATGTATGAGGTGTTGATAGATGGTTTAATTTCCATCTATATATCGACCATAAAAGCTTTTTTATTTTTATTATTATAAAAGTGAAGAGTGTTAATGCTACCTTTAAACTTTCATGAGTATACTAACTCTAACGATATTTTTGAATTACTTTAAAAAGATAAAGGGTATAATGAAACTTCTAATTTGCGAACAAAGTATTAACTATTTCAAAACTAACGGTAAGAATATTTTGTAACTTATTTTGAAAAAAATTTAAAAGTATTACCGAAACTTTTGAAAATTTGGAGATAGTTTTAAGATAAAGTATAAAGTTTAGGGATATTTTTATTAATTTAGCCAAAACATTATATGAATAAAAAAAGCGGGAAAAGGAGATGGAAGACCATACATATAGAAAACCTTTGATTTCGGGAGCGTATCAAATACGGTTTGACCGAGTATAAAAAAAGTATGAGAATAACTTATTCTCATATCCCATCTTTGAAAATGTGTATTAAACAAAAGATTTTATTTCGCTTTCTCATTCTTATATTCATTTCATTTTGATCCTCGTTCCAATAACAAAATTAAAGTGGTAGATTTCAAACTAGTTTAACTGGCTGCAAAGAAAGCACAACAATAACTTATTCTCATGTCCATCTTCCAAACATGTGAGATATGTATTAGACCCTTATAAATATTAATTTGTGAGTAGAAGTTTGAATTGAGCTCGATTGAAAAGGTAATCTTAAATAATATCTAAAAAAAATATATAAAATTTCATTTTTTAAACATTCAAAACAAAGAGTCAATAAAATGTCATTTGTACCATTTTTTTAATTCTCTTATTTTTTAAAGATTAAAAAAAAAATAATTCTCTCTCGACCATGGTATTATATTTGATTCTTCTCTCTAGAGGGAATTTTAAGTGAAAAACATGAATCAAACTCAAAGTATCAACTTGAATAAGTGTCAATTTTTATTCTCCATTTGAACATGAATTAAACTTTTTTTTTTTTTTTTTGAGCATATCTATTTATAGAATCCAAATATACAGGAGTCACACAAATAAAAATGAGATATGGATAAGAGACATAAATATGATATCAAAGAACTATGGTAACATGTCATTTTAAAAAAATTCTAGGACACGGAGGTGAGATGACACATTAATTTTTTTAAAATACATTTTAAAATTTATCAATTTTATATTAAAAAAAATTCAAAATAAATAAATTTATATATTTGTTTGCTTAAATATAGTTTAATACGTGTTTCACTCTCAAAATTTAATCAAAGTCAAGTGTCTGGTGTGAAAGGTTAGATTTAAATGTCTAACATATCTATTCTATTAAGAAGTGTTCAATACATATCCTTATATATAGTATTAAGAAAGGTTAATTATATATCCAACAAGTATTCAATACATAGTCAACACATGTCAAAAAGAGACATAAGAAGAATTAGTTAAAAATTTGGGGTTATCCTAAGGGTGACAAGAAGTAAATAACACACGGATCATGATTCTTAATAAGATTCAAGGTCCTTAGGCATAAATTTTAGGGTTAACAATTTGGGGTATTTTAGTCATTTTCCTTAATCAATAACTTATAAAATAGATGAAATAAATTGATAAATTAATGGTCGAAACAAGTTGCGGACTAACCACAACCTATATAAGACCATCAATGTATCCATTTACTTTCACGGAGTAGTGGGGTGACGACGCAACTATCTATTCTTTTGCTTTTTACTAAAGAATACCGTGTGCTCGCCCCTCCAAGTGGCATGCGGCTATTTTTTTAGGTGTCACTCTCGTTAGAGTGGTACCTACATCAATTTTAGTTTAAAATAGTTTTTTGTTCCTTTTATTATTAAAATTGGTATTTTGTTTCTTTTATTATGTTTTCTAGTATGTGTTTTGTATATGGATCTTAAAAGACTCTAAATTTCACCTTGTAATGTATGGATCTCAATACATATAAATCTTCTCACAAGTTAGGGTAACATTGGTCTTCATTAGGATCATAACGAGCTAGATAAAACAGCTCTAGAACTTTAAATTCAATAACCAATAACTTGGGTTTGATTCGTGATAGGACCTCTCTTCTTATCTCTAATATTAATTTCTAGAACATGACTCAACCGACATAAAACATGAAAATCATGCAAAAATAAGTTTTAACAAGGGGTTCTATGGTGTAGTGGTTAGTGTTAGACGAGCACGACTCTCCACAATGATATGATATTGTCCACTTTGAGCATAATCTCTCATGGCTTTGCTTTGGGCTTCCCCAAAAGGCCTCATCCCAATGGAGTTAGTATTCCTCACTTATAAACCCATGATCATTCCGTGAATTAGGGGATGTGGGACTTCCATCATCCAACGGTTAGCACTTTGGATTTTGATTCCAACGATCTGGATTCAACTCCTTTAAGAAATCCATATAGAGTAAATAGGGCAATATGGCCAACATTTCCCTAAACCTTGAGAACGAAGCTTTAAATTCATTTGGAGTTATATCTCTTGGCCAACATTTAGACAACAAGAATCTAGTGACCCATTTTGTTTATCGTTACTTCTGTTTGGTCTATTAGGTAGGCCCTCGAGATGGCTTAGCGTTTGTACTCTAAGGAGGTCTATTCGTTACTCCATTTTGTCTATCATTACCTCTGTTTGGTCTATTAGGACCTTCATTCTACTGACCTTGTGGCTTGGTTTGTATAAATTTACTTTGGCCCGAGGTTGTAATACTTCGACAAAACAGAATACTTGGTCGTTCTCAGACATATCCATGATATCTAACATCAAAACTGAAAACTACTTAACGTAGTCACTTATGCCTTCGATGTGAATAAGTTTTCACAGTTTTCTTTTGTTATGAATTCTACGTTCTCGAGGAAGAACTGAATCTTACATTCCTTCTCTAGGTCTTCCGATGAGTTTATGGTGAATGAACCATTTTTTATATCATTCACCTACGTGTGACACTATAGTTTTGCATCATCCATGAGATGTATTGTGGCAAACGTAACTCTCAGGTCTTTTGAGCAAGTTTCCGTATCCTTCAAGTATTGTTTTATGTCAAAAAGAAAGTTTTCTAATTCTTTGGCATCTTAGTTCTCATTGAAGGCCTTGGGTTCTTGGATTTTAAGTTTGTTACACCTAACATGAGCTTGGTCTGGGGTGTTGGCCCTCATTGTCAAACTCACTCAAGTGTTCATCTCAGTCATTTCAGCCTTGATGGCGTTCACCAAGAGAAACCTTAGAAATGACCGGTAACTGATCAACTAGATTATCACATTAACTATTTGAATCAAATAAAGTGACATTAACCATTTGAATCACCTCAACCCCACTTGTTGAACTTGACCAAATGTCTATAACATAACAATAACAAAAGTACACAGAAAAACTAAGAAAGTACAAAGTTCATAAAAGTCATTTTAATCTAAAATACTATTGAACTTGACTATTACAGTGCCACTCAAATGTAAGTAAAGTTTAAATCCAGGTCTCCTTGTCAAACTCACTCGGGTGCTCATCTCAACCATGATGGCGTTCAACAAGAATGACCTCGAAAATAGCCGGAATATCGCATTAACCATTTGAATCACCTAACCCCACTTGTTAAAATTGAACCAAATATCTATAACATACCACTAACAAAAGTAAGATACTATTGAACTTGACCATTATAGAGCCTCTCAAATGTAGGTAAAGTTTAAATAATTCCATTACTGGGAATCAAACTCAAGTATCTTGGGTGAAACCCAGATATCCTAACCGCTAGACAACAATGGATTATTGGTGTAATTTTCCTAGAGTCTTTCGTCCGATTATTGAAGAGTTTTAGCATGATCTTTTGGGTAATGTCTAACTCTTCGACACGTCCTTCCATGTGTGTGATAGAGTTCTTAGAGCTATCGCGATGTTTTGAGCTGTTCGATCGTGTGGCTCTTTCTTCAAAAGAGTCAACATCAAATGCCAGGTCTTTGACTGGTAACCCACCCAGGAGAGCGTTGATTGCATCGATTCCATCAATGGTCTTCCCATGAGTTTATGGTGCTTCACCCATTATGTATACCATTCACCTTCGAGCGCTACCATAGTTTTGCATCATCCATGAGATGCATTGTGGCCAACGTAACTCTTAGCTCCTATGAGCAAGTTCCTCTAGTCTTCAAGTATTGTTCTAGGTCAAAAATAAAGTTTTCTAATTCCTTAGTATCCCACTTCCTATTTAAGGGTTTGTGTTCTTGGATTTTCAATTTGTTACGTGCCCAACGTGAGCTGAATCACCTCAACCACACTTGTTGAAATTGAACCAAATATCTATAACATAACTCTAACAATCCATTGCCGAGAATCAAACTTGGGTCTCTTAAGTGAAAGTAAGATATCCTATCCACTGGACAACAATGGACTTTTGGTGCAGTCGTCCTGGTGTCTATTGTTCGGCTGCTGAAAAGTTTTAGCATGATCTTTTGCGTAATGTCTAACTCTTCGACACGTCCTTCCAGGTGTGTGATAGAGTTCTCAGAGCTACCGTGACGTTTTGAGCTGTTCAATCGTGTGGCTCTTTCTTCAAAAGAGTCAACATCAAACGTCAGGTCTTTGATTGGCAACCCATCCAGGGGAGCTTTGATTGCATCGATTCCATCAACGACCTTCCCGTGAGTTTATGGTGCATGATCCATTTTTTATACCATTCACCTTTGAGCGCCACCATAGTTTTGCATCGTCCATGAGATGCATTGCAGCCAACGTAACTCTCAGGTCCTATGAGCAAGTTCCTCGAGCCTTCAAGTATTGTTTTACATCAAAAATAAAGTTCTCTAATTCCTTAGCATCCTGGTTCCAATTTAAGGGTTTGTGTTCTGGGATTTTCAGTTTGTTTAGCCCAACATGAGCTTGGCTTGGGGTGTGGTTCTCAACGGCCCTCCTTGTCAAACTCACTCGGGTGCTCATCTCAACCTTGATTGCGTTCAACAAGAGAGACCTTGAAAACGACCTAATTATCTCATTAACCATTTGAATCACCTCCAACCCCACTTGTTAAAATTGAACCAAATATCTATAACATAACTCTAACAAAGGTACAAAGTTCATAAAAGTCTTTTTAATCAAAGATACTATTGAATTGGACCGTTACAGTGCCTCTCAAACATAGCTAAAGTTTAAATATAATTGGTGACAAAAAGATGAAACTATACAATAAAAGAAATAAGAAAATAAAATTCCATTGCTGAGAATCAAACTCAGGTCTCCTTGATGAAAACCAGATATCCTAACCGATGGACGACAACAAATTTTTGGTGTAGTTGTCCTAGACTCTTTTGTCTGATATCTAAAGAGTTTCAGCATGATCTTTTGTGTAATGTCTAACTTTTCGACACATTCTTCATGTGTGTGATAGAGCTCTCAGAGCTACCGCCATGTTTTTTGTTGTTCGATCATGTGCCTCTTTCTTCAAAAGAGTCAACATCAAACATTAGGTCTTTGATTGGAAACCCATCCACGGGAGTGCTGATTGCTTCAATTCCATCAATGGTCCTCCCATGATTCTTTGGTGCATGAATTTTTTTTTTATATCATTCACCTTCAAGCGCCACTATAGTTTTGCATCGTCCATGAGATGCATTGTGGTCAACGTTACTCTCAGGTCTTTTGAGCAAGTTCCTATAGCCTTCAAGTATAATATCACAACATATTAACTTATTTGATATGTTAAATATTAAAATAATTGATATATATCATAAACATTAAATAAAAATATATATTTGAAATACTATGACATTTAAATATGATTTAAATAAGATATTATATGTTAATGTATTAAGTATTCAAATATATAATTTGACAAAAATTATCACAAGTTCACGGTAAATAGAACCCTTGAGTTAAGTAAGAAAGCATCAAACACCAAATACTCTCTTCTCTAGAGAGTGGAAAATTTAGCTCTACTTCAAAAGACTATAAAAGAGATACAATCGTTAAGAGAGATAGAGCAAGCACATTAAAAACCTACTCGAACTTTCTCCAAAGAGATAGAGCAAGCACATTATAAAAACCTATTCAAACTTTCTCCCAAGAGATAGAGTAAGCACATTAAAACCTACTTGCTCCATATTTCTTCATTATAAGTTTGCTTTGGGCACAAAAAGGTAATGTACCTTGAAAGTTCTTAAGAAAAACTTTTGAAAATCTAAAAGGAGCTAAAATAGTAAGGTTAAAGATAGATTATAAACCTTCATTTTTTTTTTTTTTTTTGTAAATTCCTTTATGTTAGAACAAGAACTAAGCTTAGAAGCTATATTAGGTACCGGATTTTTAAAGGAATTGTACACTTTTAAAATTTTGAAAAAAATTGAAAAAAAAGGTTAGAAAGAAAGTCTTAAAGACAAATATAAATTTTATATTTAAAAATCTTGTCCTTACATACCACATAAATAGTCTTGAGAGAAAATCTAAGACTTGCAAAAACATATTAAACAACAACATATTGTTGATTTACTATTTAAGGTTTTTCTGAAAGAAACATTCCAACGAAGGTCTAACAGTAATCTTCAAACCTTCTGTAAAAATGAAATAAGTGATATTTTGTCGAGAAAGCTGATAAAGGTCTTCAAAGATCATGTGGTCATGTCTGACATTTTACGTTAACAACACGACAAAAAGAAACAAGAAATTTTGATATCGGTAATTAACTACAAACCCTTGAATAAGGTTTTAGAATAAATAAGATATCTAATCTGAAACAAAAATGATTTGATAAAAAGAATTTTAGAGTATGTTTTCATAAATTCGATATGAAATTGTGATTT